GTCTCCGTGAGGTGCAACAATAACTGGGGCAGACAACTGCTGATTAAATAGCGTTACAATGACTATATTTCAGAGAACAGTTAGGGCGAGTTACCCGTTTAAATACAGTCATTTGAATGCGGTGGAGCCGTGCTTATTGTTGTTTTTACTCCTAAAGCGCACAACTTGGCCTCTGCAGCCTGCAGACCTCCTTTCTAACTGTCACAACTTGTTTTAATTCATCTCACATTTTTTAGCAAATTACCTTCTTAGATAAGGGACGTTTCCATCGGCAGTCATTAGACGGCGCTGGATGCTAAAGCCTGAACGATGCGTGCACCGTTTCCCGTCTTTGCCTTTTTACTTGCTGTCGTCACCACGTTTCCATGCAAAGTCTCCCTCGTTCTCTTCGCTCGTAATCTCTACGGTTGACGTAACAATCCACCGGCTGCGGCGAGCCTCTTCTCTGTATTTGCTGCCGCAAGTGAAAGGGCTGGAGGATGCGGAAACCCCCCGTGCTGCACCTGCTAACCAACAACTTCCTTGGTTCTGTTGGTCTGCGCTCCTTCCATCACGGGTTCCCCATTCACCACAGAGACTTCTTGCTGACACGACCCTGCCAGACGCCCCCTCGGTGTTTCACTAAACTCAGCACCTTTGGCACCAGCCTCTCGGTTTCATGGTTTTTGTTCAGCCAATGACCTTTGACCTGCAGCTTAAGAAAAACTGAAAGTTTTCTCAAAATAACACAGTGAGTCTGACTGATGATATTGGGTTATCAGGGTTGTAGAGTAGTTCTCGTCGTAGTTGAGGATAAGATAGGAGAGGTATCGATATTCTCCAACTATGGTTGTAAACCAGTTATTAAAGTGCCGTCATCCTAATTACATCCACCTTGAATTGATCTTTAGTTCATTTGTCATAACCTTTCCCTGATTTCATGAACGGCATCCTTCCATAATATTCTCTCTCATCTCGTATATGTCCTCAAAACCATCAAATTACGACTCCCTTCCCAATGATTCCCGTTGAATTATGCTTTCGGAACACAATGCTTCACAGTTGTAGGACGTAGCTCCTTAATGGCCTCTCCGTTGTGCCCTTTGTTGGTTTTACGACCGAGTGAATGGGCAAAATTTGAATGAAAAGAGGTGAATTGTTTTTTGTTTTTTGTTGCCAACACAAGACCCCGACAGTCCCCCAGCACGTTGTCTTCTGACCCGAGTCACATCGAACTGTGTGACTTGTTTAACAAACAAGCTGATGTATTCAAGGGCACTGACCGTGGAGGGAAGACAATGGGCCTAATGACGGTAACAAACTGTAACATACAGCACAGGGTTAGGGGGGGGGGCGCACAAAAACACACACACACACACACAAAGAGCTGACAGTAAATTCAGAGAGCTGACTAAACAGTGGTATCATGCCCAGAGGCTTCATTGTTCCGCTGATGGATACTCACATATGACAGAGTATAAAGGCCTCTTGACACAGAGAGTAGTTGGGAATTAGGTAACTGGGACACAACCCTAATTCACTATTATGTTTTACGATGGGACCTAAAATAACTCAGCGTGCAAGACAACAATACGAGTTTGTGCTGAAGATTTGCCAGCAGATGAGCAGCTCATCGGACCACCATCATTACATGATTTCTTTTCTTCTAGGGTCTGTGCGGAAATCATTATGGGGAACCCAGGAGGGAAAAGTTACTTATTTTTTTACCATATAAGTAAGGCGATGGTGTCTGTGACCCCGGGAAGATTAGCGGCGGCTAAGGCGTCAGCTAATGGGGATCCAGTAAATGGCTGATCCAATTTAACACAAGCTGCACCTGTTTGTTTGTTGTTTCCGGTCCCGACAGGTAAAAACGCATCATCTCAACTGTGCCCTCAGCTTAAGTGTTTGTTACCATGACGACAAAGCTCCCTGAATTAAAGCAAGGAAGCCATTTGACCCCAAACAACAACGTTACCCTCAGGCAACAAAGTATTTCAGTGACTAATCTTAACCAAACCTAAAAAGTAAAATTTTGAATTTATTTCCTCACCTGTGGTTTTTAACGGTTTTAGAAGGCACAGACAAATTACATCATCCTGAAGATGGGGGGCGTTAGATTATTTATCTGTGTCGCTTCCAAGAGCGAGTTTCGTGGGTTTCAAATAAGTACAAGTTTGAGATTAGCATTGTGTATTTTAAGGACATTGTTGACATTTTGATAAGAATGTGAAAATAGCTTCCCCCCCCACCCAAACGAGAAACATTCCACCTTGGTGACGTAATCACTCCCTCACTCCGTCAAGCATTGTCACACACGCAGCGCACAAACAGCGACGGCTCCACGGTCGCTGCTCCCTGCTCCAGCGTTATTAAAGCACTGCATCTCATAAAAACGTTTGCAGAAACGTTGACCTATATTTGCAGCGTCTGACTGGGGAAAAACATTGTGAGGCGATCCAGACGTTGAGTAAATGTTGTGTAAAAATAGTATTGGAGGTGTGTAAAACCCTGGATAACCTTTCTGGGTGAGGGCCGGGGCCCGGCTTGCATAGCCCACAAATGACTTCTACTGGATCACTGGAGAGTTACAGAAAGAAGAACCTACTGTATTTTGTAATAGTTATGGAAAGAAAGATATGAGTAATAATAAGTGTATGAAGGGCCAACTAATAAGCAAAGGCCTCTCAGTTGTCATTCAACTGATTTTCAAAAAAAATAGTTTGAGGGGAACAAAGTGTTGTCAACAAGGGAACGGTTTCTTTTTTTCATGCGATTAATCAGAAGTAAGGGAATCAAATAGATACATTCCCTCAGATTGAAATAATTAATTAATCGACTGATTTCTGTTTATTTCATTTGTAAATATTCTCATGTGATGAATGTCCATATTACAATCATGTGCCTTATTGTGTTGGACTAATGTTTAAAACAGTAGTAGTAAAGTGAATAAAACATTCAGTTTACTACCACTATTAAAGAAAAACACATTTCAGATGCTTTATTTAAATTGATGCAGATAATAGTTTTCTTTGAGCTACAAAAAATATTATTTTTTTAATAACATTTAAATCATTTGATTCTGATTCATAATTGAGAGGTCGATCATTCATAAATGTATTTATTGTTTTTGTCATAGGAGCAGCTTCCTCTCCACCTCGAGACTTTGAGGACGTTTAGGTGTTTTTTATAGAAAAAAATATCAGGCCGTATTTCCAAATGGGGACGTGATAAAAGGACAGGAGAGGTCTAAATGAAGCACTTTCCCGCTTGGCGCTCACGTAGCAGAACAACGTGACTCGAGGAGGACGAGGACAGACTGCCAAAACAAAACGTGATGTAAGCGCTGCACCAGAATGCGTGTCATATTTGAGGGTGTAGGGGAAATGGCCGCCATTGCTAAGATATTTGGCCTACTTCTAATCCCTCCGACGATGAACCAGCATTAATTCACAACACCATGCTTTTCCTTTCATGCATTTAGCGTTTTCTCTGCACAAAACGCGCAGTATATAATACTTAAGAACCGTCGTTGCGTTGCGTTCACGTGTCATAGGAATGTGTGGCAGCGGTGTTTACCTCCTCGCTGCGCCCCATGACTTGTTTTGATGGCGACCACGTGACCGACTCCGAGAGTAGGACGTCCCCGCTGTCTTTTTGAGCACATTACAAACAAGTTGCAGATAAGGGGACGAGAAGGAGTCGCCCGAGGATAGTTCCTACCGAAAACACTTCGACGTGACGCCGCCTGCCTGCTACTATTAGTTATTATCGCCGGACTGGATGAGCTGCGCGGAGTTCACGGACGAAACGCTCCACACGTGAAGCCCCGAAAACTTTGAAAACTTTTGACACGTTGACTGATGGTAAGAAGGGAATGTTCTATTGTTTTCTTTTTTGCGCATTCTTATGTTGATTCATTTTATAATTGTGTGTGTGTGTGTGTGTGTGTGTGGGGGGGGGGGTCGATGGAGTGAATGTTGATTCGGTTTTAGTCGGCATTTCTCGGCATTGACTTTTGGTTAGTCGGGCATTCAAATGGGCCAACGTAACTTTTCACAACTATATTTTGTTGTTGGTCGTAATATTCAAATGTTTTACCATGTGACTGTGTGTGTGCGCGTGTAATGTGCGTTCACAACGGACTGTTTGCGTCGCGTCTCATTGACTCGCACACGCAGCGAATCTTAACTGCGTCACGGAGTGTTTCTGCACACTTGGCGCAGCTTTTAAATTGACTTTTTTGGGGCGTCGTTTAGTTAATTTGCTCGATAACTCGCTGCGGTTGCAGACACGCCGGTTTCGCTTAGAAGCGGGGTGATTTCTCACGGGGTTCGGATTAAAATATTGGAGGTTTTTCTCGGCTTTTCTTTCGCTGCGAACTGAGTCCACCGACCCGATGTGCGCCGCACGCCGCGCCCACTTCGTTTTACACGCAAACAACTTTCACTCGCTGCGGGAATCCACTCGTTTTCTAAACCCACCCAACAGTAAACGAAATGGAAGTAAATTGCGTGTTTATAAAACATTTTAGTACTTAGAAAAAAGTGTTTGCATTTGACGTTCACGTCTACTTATACAGACCTTTTATTAAAACGGGTGTATAAGTAGACATACATTACAAAATGACAGGTTATTTGACCGGTTATATGGTAAAACTACAGATTATTTAACCGGTTATATGGTAAAACTACAGGTTATTTAACCGGTTATATGGTAAAACTACAGGTTATTTGACAGGTTATATGGTAAAACTACAGGTTATTTGACAGGTTATATGGTAAAACTACAGGTTATTTAACCGGTTATATGGTAAAACTACAGGTTATTTGACCGGTAAAGTCTTTTCAACCACACGGTAGATGTCAAACACTTGCGCAACGCTCCCCCCCCCCCACCTCCTCCTCCTCCTCCTCCTCCTCTACCCCCCCCCACCTCCTCCTTTTCCTCCGGGTGTTGGTGTTTTTGTGTCCACAAGCTGATCACATGTTGTCCTTTCCAAAAGGTCCTTGCCAAACTTCGTTGTTCTGTTGCTTTTAACATAACATACTTAACATACTCCGTTAATATTTGGTGTTTGGTTATGGGAAGTTTTCTAAAGTCTTTCTGAACTGGAGTTTTTTTTTGGGGGGGGGGGCAATGCTGGAATGACCCACTTTGAGGCCTCTCCTCAGCTCCCCACACTGTGTGCACATTTATAGATATATAATGAACAATATTAAAAACATTTTTTTTACCCCTTTACAAACAGAACCCCTAAATGATACCAACGCACAAATGTGCAGTTAATCCTGTCGCCTCAAAATTGCCTTGAGGGGGACGCGAGGACTCCAAAAATAAACAATGTAGATTGGGTGGTTAAACCGACACCAGCAGCTCTTATTAGATCAACAAGTTAAAACCGTTGATTTAGATCAGAAATATGCACCTGTTAGTTTTAACTAAGTGTCAAGAAAACAGAGCTGGACGAATATCAGCACCGGAACTAAACACGACAGATCTGTAGTAGTTACTGCCCATCCCACCTTATTTTACTGCACACACACACACAGCTGATAACGAGAGTACAGTCAGCACGGGACGGGGTTAAGATTAAAACTGCATCTCGACACAGAGCTCCTGCACAATGGGATTCAGTAAAGTCGGATGATCAATTACCAGTTAAATCAATCCCAGGATTCAATAGTGCTGCTCTAATTACACGTGGCTACATGAGGAAACATTCCTCACACAAGCCCCCCCCCCAGGGCCTCTTTTACCTCTGTGACCCGCCGACCTGAGCCGGCGATCTTTGACTCGCAGACACCGCAGCAGGTGTCGGTTCGGTTTATTTGGTGTCGGTTCGGTTACCTTCTGCCGCGGCAATTCCTCCCCTCCCCCTCCGGTTGGGGCGCACGTGCATTTCATCACATAAAACACAAAAAGGCGCCCAGGAGGGGAGATAATCCGCGTTGATGAGTAAGGAGGTTGAGAGTAACACTCAACCCCCCCCCCCCCCCCCCCCCAACTTCCCTCTAACACTCGGCCTGCTCTCTGACAGGGACATGGCGAAGGCCGCTCCATCATCATCACCAGCGGCGGCCACGACCTCTCACCCGGGAGGCATCGAAGCCTTGAATTTGAAGGCGGGGCCGGCGAGGAGGAACCTCTTCGGGTCCGTGGACCACCAGCAGCTGCAGCAGGACTTCCGGCGGCTGCTCAGCATGAACGTGGAGGCGGCCAAAAAGCGCTGGAACTTTGACTTCCAGAGGGAGGTGCCGGGAGAGGGCTCCGACGTCGAGTGGGAGGAGCTACGCAGCCAGGACGTGCCGGCGTTTTACCACAGCTGCACGATGCGACCGGCGCCACGTCCAATGCCCGAGAGCCGGGCACCGTCTTCGTCCGGGGGCGAGGGTTCCTCCCCCGGGCACAGCAGCTCGTCCGGGTCCGGGGACGAGTACCTGGAGGTGACCACGAGGGGGCGCTACCGGATCGGACTGCACGGACAGCGCAAGCAGTCGGCCATCACAGGTACGTAGCACAGAGCGCCGTTTGGGTCGGACTTATTCTACAAGGCGACTTTCTTGGTTTTCCTTCTGTTTAATCGCGACCCGGCCTGCTTTCCCCCCCCGCAGATTTCTTCAAGGTGAAGAAGAGGAAGCTGCTGCACTACAAGCCGTCTTCTTGGCAGTAGAAAAGCACCACTAGACTCAGCGGGATGTCGCCTCACACAGACATGTATCATACCGTATACATACATGTATGTGTATACATATATATATGTAGCAACTTGTAAGTGACTGTCCACAAGCTCATTCAGCACGAGCTACAGAACTCCTCTGACATCATATTTCATTTTCAGCACAAGGAAGCTACCATTTTTCCTAGTAAATCCAGCTCAGTCTTAAGCAACGGTTTTTGTTGAATTGTAAGAAATGATATGTTAAATATCCAGTTTTCCTCAGCTTTGACTATACTGTGAAATTGTTTTGTATGCACTCTTAATAACAGAAAACAGGCTCTAGTTTTAAGAAGTTAATTTTCTTCCCAACGTAGTATTTGACATCAGTCCTCCACTTCTTCTTTTTTTTTTTTTTTGTGTGTGTGTGTGTCTCCTCTGCTGCCCGCTAAAAGTCACTAGAGGCTTTAATTAGATGAGTTACTATTTCGGGACTCGCACTTCGCCTGCAGCCTCGGCCCCGGGGCTCGGGTAGCACAAGCAGGGGTCAAAACCTCACCCAGGACCCAGAATCAAGCAGCGCGCATGTGATTAGCCCCGGGGCAAAAGTCAAAAGGTGGAGTTTCACCGATGAGGTCATGCAATCGTATTTTTCCAACAGCGACTTCAGGTCCTCTTGAGACATTTAATTTATTACTCCTGAAACTAGATCCTTGTCGTTTCAATGCGTAACACAAGGTAAGCGGAGAAACCTGACTAGGTCATTTACACTCCACTTAAACATATTGGCAACATATAGTGAACACATTAACAAAAAAAGAGTTACAAACTGTAAATCATATTCTTTGTGCAATGCATTATTGGCATTAAAAATGTAAAAATAGATGTATATATGTTTTGGGGCAACAGACCGGAACATCCCTTATTTAGTTTTGTCGGCTTTACACTTGTAATAATGTAGCATTTCTCCAGTCTTCATGTGACGTCCACCTCTTAGGTGCTAAATACGCCTCTTTTTCTTTTTTCTTCCATGAAGGGACTGAAGTGTTAAATCACTGTGTTGCAGCTCAATGAAATCCAAACCTCTTGGTTTCACTTTTGGGCTTTTAAAATTGTTTTTTTTTTCTTCTTGTATGAAGACTCTTCCCCGTTTCTGTCTCCATACGTGTGTGTGTGTGTGTGTGTGTGTTTATACATCCATGCATAGTTGTTTGTGTATGCATGCGTTTGTTTGGTTTTCATCTTGAGGTTTACTATAGATTGCAACAGTTGTGGCAGCAAACCTCGGCTGAACCAAAAACAGATCGCCGTGCCAATAAATCACACACGTCAAGTCCCGTCACGCCACAACCGTTTGACTTAAAGTTTGGGGCTGTCAAATAGGACGCAGCTACTTCTATTTCCTACCTACAGTCGCTCTAATTTGGATATGGATGAAGAGCCATAACCCGGATTGATCCACAATTACTACCTCATCAAGTGATCCAAGTTACATGAAAAATAGCAACACCAGTGGAGGGCGGGTTGTGTGCGTTTAAAGGGCAAAAGAGAGAAACAAGGGGGAGGGGTTTGTTGTGGTAAAAATACTGATGAGGTTCAGCGCTGGGTGTCGAGTTTCACAGCGCGTAAAAGAGTCCGTGTGTCAGAGCAGACAAACCGCGTCGAGAGGGAAACTTTAATAAGTGAACAATTATTAACAGAAAATGTCTCCCGGTCTCTCTTTCACAACACGGAGCGCCTCGATCCCTGAAAATAATCACCTAGAAAAAGAGTTTTTCATAATCACGTTGTTCTTTCAGAGCTCAACGAGGCGATAGTAACAAACACGGCTGTTTTGAAATTTTCAGGAGGATTACTTTCTTTTCTGGTCAACGTGTGAGAGAGTAACTGTTTGTGTGCATCTTCTCAAACTTTCAAAGTCTATTATTAACTTATTTTGAATTTGTATCCTTTGTCCTGAGCGGAAATCCTTTTAAAGTCTCTTTTAAACTACTAATTGTGTTATTTCTGAAAATATATCTTTGCACTACTTCAAACTTTTTTTTTTTATATATGGTAATCTTGAAAAAACAAATATTTGCAGAGTTACTGAGACACACATCACATATTTGTGATTTTAAATTAGTACAAAAAAATGTTTCCCCTCAAATCACGCTTTATTAGGTTGTTTTTGTAGCTCGTTTGTCCTTCCAAAGTCAGACAGGTGGAATACAAATAAATCAAGGAAAGCTAAAACAATAAATATGAAGATTGATCCATTGAGCAAACTTTGCTTTCCAAAATCACCTGTCGCAGCTATATTGAAGTGTAGCGTATCTTTCTTGTAATTTTGTATATGCATGAATGGATGATAATCTCTGTTCAACATTTGTAATAATTTTATTGTAATTTAATGCTGGTTTGTATATCCCTGTAACATGTAAAAAGTGGATATGTTTGTGATGAGAATCATATTTGTAAAGAAAATATATTTCTGGGTTGTCGGTACGCTGTTGCCTTTCGTATTGTTGATTTCTTATAGCGTGCTCAAAATAATAAAAATGAGTAAGACTGATACAAACTACAAAACATTGTCTCCTCTGATTTTAAGTGTTAGAGAAAGGTTGAAATGAGGCTTATTGATCAACCGCCCCTTGTTGGTGTAAATGTAACTGATTTCAACTAAGAATATAATTGAAATGAAACACTAGTCACATGATAAACAGTTAAATATAACCCACACCATTGCTATCTTATTTCAAATATTCTGTAAATAACGCAGTGGTCAAAATGTAATTTGCATTTATTTAAAATAAATATGCATTTACATCAGTTTAAACGTAAAGTAAGCATCAATAAAAATAAAAGATGCACCACAAATAGTGTTACAAATTCAATATATATTTTTTCAATTGGTATTGTTTTACATTTGGCAAGTGTAGAGACATCAGAGGTGCTCCTAAACAGAGAGGAAGAGGATACCAAAATGCCCAGATGTTACAGATGTCAAAAGCACTTTAAACAGTTGAGCTAATCTGGTGTGTGTGTATAATCACTACTCGTAGTGCCGTTCACTGAGTTTAACCAAGACAAAGTGTTCTCGTTGAGTAGACAAGCAGCCATAACAAAAACCTGCTCATAACTGCTGTTACCGTATTATTTTGTATACACCAATGACAAGTATTGATATTAAAGTATTTTTTTGTACCTTCATTTGCCTCACAAATGTAACAAATCTGTTCAGAAACAGATTTACAGTGAAAATCCCCCCCAACAACAAGCAGCTTCTGCTACAAACCGGCAAAACGTGTGTTCAGAAATGTCAGTATAAATTGTACACTTTAATGTGCAATAGGGAAGTGATGCTGAACCCAATGTGTGAAATAAGACAATGGTGGACTTTTCTTGTCGGGTTTCCTCGTGTGTTTGTGTGACGGTTTTCACAGCTATAGCTTGTGACTTAAGACACTAAAACTTGAAAAAGGAACAAGTATAAGTATATGTATATATATATATCCATCTTTGACACAATCAAGAGAACCAATCCCTGTATATTTTCCAACCCTGATTGTGCAAAACTGTAAACAAATGAAATGGCCGTGAAAAGAAAGTTGCCCAAAAACCCAGCTAGGATGTGAGTGGCTCACTAAAATCATCAAGACTCTTCCTTATTACCACACCACAGTGCAATTTTCATTACCTCCACCACAAGCAGCCCAATTATTATACATATCTACAACACAATTATTATTCACATTCTTTAGGCGATCCAGAGTGTCTGACCTTTAAGTTAAGAACCCGTGATTTAAAAAAAAGGCAAAACTTCATTTCAACTTGGCCCAGTTTACATTTTCAAAAAAGGTTTTTACATCCATTTAAAATCATAAAATATATAGAGTAGTACATTCCGCGATGGCCCCACGAGGCTTGAATTCACAGACTGGACAGCTCCCTTTAAAAGCCCATTTTCAAAACAGGCACTTCAACACAACCTCTACGTCCCGCTAGAAGAAGTGTGCGCTTACATGTTTAGGCTTTTTGTAAGTGGATAAGACTTCAGTGCTCAGAGACGCTCTGCTTACATCGGCGGTTGTGGGAATCAAAGTGGTGTCTCCATAACTCCGGGTCTACTGTGGCAGTGAGAAGCAGCGTGCCACGAAAATCACTTCAACTCCCGGAAACACACCTAAAAAGCAGCCGTTTGCAGATGTTGGACGCCCTCACAGCTGGCGTCGCAGCGCTTGTCTGTCTCTCCACATGGCTCGCACCTCTTTGAACAGCAACGGAGAGATGAACAGAATGCTGCCCCCTGTCTGCGGCGCAGAAACACACACAGAGCCAAGTCACGCTGATGTGAAACAATAACGTGCACAAAGAAGATAGCAAAGCAAACTGGCATTTAAAGGGTTATTGAATATAAGTGAATATTTGGTAGTGATAATCAGGATAAAAGATTTAACTCGAAAGTGGGAAATAATTGCAATATCTAGTTTCTGGTCAGCGTTTAGTCGCCTGAGTCCAGACATCAGAGGAGGGAGGCAAAGGGGTTACATTTCTTACCATGACGATGAAGAAGTAGAAGACACATATCCAGCCCAGTTTGCCTTCAATTAGGGACACCAGGTACTAGAGGACGACAGCGATATCAATGCAGAAGTCAAGTGGTGATCCGTGGGTGGGACTGCAGGTTCAATAGGTCAGAGAAACCTACGGCGGCGCACTTTAAATGTCATAACGCAGTGACGCCACCGCTCAAAGTAAGTTGAGGACTTCTTCTGCAACCGAATGAGTAGTAAAAATAAGTTGGTCTAAAAAATACAAACGTGTGTGTAAAATTTAGTTATATTGTCTCGGTTTTAAATGGATCTTAACAAACCAAGATGAACAAAGAGAGGGTGGCCGTGGTAACAGCACGTGCACTACACGGATCAATTTGAACTGGGGAGATCCATCGCAAACCTTCTTTCAGGTGCTTTATTTCCCCACGTGAAGTGTGTGTATTTTTTTTTCACCTGTCCAAAAGCAGCTCCTATGCTCCCGGTTCCATCCACTATGCCGGTGACGGTAGCCAGCGCCTGCTGACTGCCCCTCAGGGCCTCCTGTCTCCCGAGGTCAGCAGATATGGCCGAGCTGATCATATTAGATGGACCGCCGATGAAGAAGCCCGTGGCAGCTAACAGCGCTGCGTTTATCACCTGGTCATTAGGCGAGTCTGAGAAGAGATATGAGAGAGAGAGAGGACAGATGACTTTCACCCTCCTTATATTGTAAGCTTTTCAGATGATTGATGAATAGACTCATTTTAAAGTCTGCACTCACTGCTGTATCCCACTAGGGCTCCCATCGCCAGCGCCAGGCTGATGGCCAACACCGGCGCTCGCTTTCCCATGAGGTCAGAGATCAACCCCTGAACGGTCCCTCCTGACACATAAAGGAGAGCGGCGCATTGAGAAAAGAGGATCTTGACCTGTACAATTGGTCATGAAAACATGGCTAGAAAACGGTGATCATTTCCAAAAAACTCAAATTGAATTGCGGTTATGAGGAGATGACGGAAGAGAATGCATAGACGAGTCCGACACTCACCGAGGATTCCTCCAACGTCGTACCACACCGACAGCCGGTCGGCCTCAGCTTCCTTCCAGCCAAAGTTGTTGCTCAGGTAGAAAGGAAGCCAGAAGAAGAAGGAGTAGTTGACCAGCTTCAGACACGCATAAGCCAGGGAGTACTGCAGCAGCAATGGACACAGAGTCAGCATGTGTCGTTTCATTTGTTTGAATGAATGTGCCTCGACTTGTCGGGAGCGGCGCACTCACAGGCAGCACCCCGGGCAGACAGAAGGCCTGGCAGAAGGTGATGGCTCGGGGAGGCGCAGGTAGAGGTTCGTCCTGCGCCTCCACCTCTTCCTCCTTGTCGTCGTCGTCCTCTGCCTCCCCGTCACTCATCAAAGGCCTGTGGCTGTCGGAGTCCGTCTCCAAGGCACTCAGTCCGGTCTCTGAGTCGGAGCTCAGACCTGACACAGAGATTCAAATCAGTTCAGGAAGTTCCAGTTTAAGAACCAGATACGTAATGAAACCACACTTTCTTTTCCCCAAACATAGTCCCTACCGATTTCTTTTGGAGAGGTAAGCAGGCCAAAGAACACCACCACGCCACCGGCAAACTGGATGACTGATGTCACGAGGAAGGCGTACTGCACATAGCAACAAGCGTTTAGCTGCTGAGAATGTAATAGCAAATGTATGAACACACGCGTCTGTGTGTGTGTGTGTGTGCGTTTCTTACCTCATAGCCGTACTTGAGCACGCTAGAAGCCAGGAAGGCTCCCAGGATGTTTCCCACGGAGGCACAAGCACTCCACAAGCCGAACACAAAGCCACGGCTGGAAGACGGCGCCGCGAAAAAAACAAACACATTTACATCAATAATCTATAAATTCTAAGCAACACAACTCCAGCCGGCTTGGTGATGGGAGGTTTTTTTCCCTTCATGTGCCGCTGCAGGAAAAATGTAGTCTAAATAGCGCCTGTGTTCGGGCAGCAGCACCAGTGAATGGACGTCACTGTTAGTGTGGAGGGCGTCAGTATCACAAAGCTCCGCCTAACACACACACACACACACACACACCAAACTCGACTAACTATTTCTAGGCCCGGGTGGACGTTGCCGTTAGAAAAATGCAGGTTATGTAAAAAACAAAAACAAAAAAAAAACAGAAGTCTCGCGCACCCCTGCTTGCCGAACCAGTTGCCCATGACGGCCACGACGGAGGGCCAGACCGCCGACTGCAGCAGGCCGTTCACCACCCACAGGATGCAGTACACATAGACGTTGTAGATGTGGAGCCATTCGGTGAGGGTGCCGAACATGAACTCCTGCAAACGCACACAGCGACATTTGTATTCCCTATTATTATTATTATTATACGAATACAGTATATCATACAGAATATTATACAAATACAGTGTAATGGCATTTAAGGATAACAGCTATTTAATATTTTCCGTTGAGAAAGTGTCCATCAATAGGAATGCACCACTTGACCCTTTCTATAAACAGTCTCACACCAGGTCTACGTGTACTCACCACCGCGGCAGAGCCACACAGGCCGAAGCAGAGCACGTAGCGCAGGTTAAATCGGTCCCCGACCACCCCGCTCAAATACAGACCCTGTGTGGAAAGGACCAGGCGTGAGGTGACGCACGTGACAAACGACTGACACAGTGGGCCCCCCCGAACCCCCCCGAGCCTGCTCACCACTGCATACGAGAAGAGGAAGATGGAGTCCAGGGCTCCCAAGAACAGAGTGGCGTTCCTTTCATCCGAAAACATGCGATGGTCCTCCCAAGTCTGCTCACGTTCAAGAGACAAAAAACAAAACACAAATAGTCAGAGGTGGGGGGACGAGGGGGGGTTGATCCGCAGTGGGGGGTTCAGATGCTGCAGGTTGCGGCGCTCTGTACCTCGCCGGGGGAGAACGCGCTGCCATTCTGGACAGATGGCGTCCACTGGGCCGATATGCTCACTTTAACATTGCTGAACGTCTTCCTGGAGGCGTGCAGCAACACGTAGCTGGGGAGGGGGAGGGGGGGGCGCATACAGTTGTATTCACCGAGCAGAGGCCACAGAGATGTATTTAAACCATCCACATACAAAGTGCACGCCAACGGTCATACAAACGCTGGAGGGGAGCACCAGAAAAAAAAAGGCTTTTTAAAGAAATGATCTACTTATTCCACATTCCAGAAGAGCAGTTCAATTCTGCAGAAAGAATTTAGAAAAAAAATAAAATGCAATGCTACGTCTATAAAACAGGAAGTGGTTTGAGGCCTCGATTTAATCTGAGCAGCCGTATGCACCATGGAGTACTTCCTGCTGCAGACGTCACTTTGCGCTGCTCCTGAGCTTTCACGTTTCCGGACATGGTGCGATACCACATCGGCTGTACGTACAGATAAACTACTTACTAGCTGATAAAGAAGTGTATTCTTCGCATCTCATCGAATCCTCATTGGCCACGTTATCCGAACCTGGTCTGACCTGCGGTCGTGTAACTTTGCCTCAAATACCTCGCACCTAAATGTTCAGCTCACGTTCACTCAGTGTGTTTCTGCACATCAACAAAACTGCCCCAAACATTGGTTGGAATTCTAATTCTATATCTGTTACTACTCCTTCTGACAAATATGAAACAAAAGCAACAAGCTGATGACAACAAAAGCAAAGAACGCAACGCGAGCTTTACAGAAAGTCACAGGAACGGCTCTCCAGTTACGTCTGGTATCAAAGGGTCGTCTAGCAAGTAACATCTACAGGTTTGAGGAAGACCTCCAGGATGACCTAGATTACCTAAAGAAGGTGAGCAGGAAGACAACCAGATGATGATGAGTGTACTGTGACAGGTAGCCACAGCACGAGGGAGGCATCACAGGGGCGGCCGGAGAGGGGGGAGGTGGAGGTGGAGGACGGGAAGGGAAGTCTTCGGGTGGGGGCACACCAAGAGGACAAGGAAGGGGTCCAGCTAAAGTGTCCCACTATGTCAGATGGGACAAGCACATCGCTAGGGGAACAACAAAGAAAAGAAGGGTTTTAAAAAGGTTAAACAGCACTAATGGGTATTATTGATATAATACTAAAGCCTCAACGTATTAATCCTTTTTATGAATAAGTGACGGCACAAAACCACACATTTTTTAAAATTAGATTTGGTACATAAACAAGGACCTACATGAAGTGACAACATGAATAGAAACCACTGTTAGGGCGCCGTTGCCCCTGCTTACAACCACCACACATCCCGGGTGTAAAGCTCAGTGTTTCATGAATCCCGTACTACCAGGTGCAACACCCGCTTGTGGAGAGGCCCTGTCCCCTTTAGGGTAGAAGGCGGTAAAAAAATGCATCTGGTGTGACTGCTGGGTTGTGTAGTGCCCCCCCCCCCCAGGTATCAATGAGCCGAGTGTGTGCTGACTGCCCCTGAAACCATTACACCCACTCAGTCAGAACCACCTCATGTTGTTTACGCAGGACTCAACTTACTGATCCAATACCAGAGCTGTCCCCCCCCCCCTCGAAAATTAAATACCTGTGCCTCACTTTCATTTTGTTGATGAAACCTTTCCTAAAGAGACAAATGTGTTCTTCACATGATTGTTACCCCACCCATGAAATCCAGGCTGCTATTTAAGCACTGGAGAGAGAGAGAGAGAGAGAGAGAGAGAGTAGAGCACTCATGTGTAGTAAATGTGTCCTTTGAGCAAGTGAATCCACTTCAGCGGGACAGATCCAGCATTGTTCATGTTTCTTGAGTAAAGGTGGGGAAGTTTATTCAGGGAAAGGTACGAACGTTATAATGTAAAAGTACTCACATCAGAAACATGCACCCTAAGAAAAGATCTGAAAATGCTGTCCTCAGTGCCCAACTTGAACTGAACTGATTGAATTTTCTCAATTAACTGATTAGTAGTTCAAACTGTGTTTTCCAAGATGACGGGCTCAAATGTTCTCATCTCCAACATAAAAGATTTATTAGTTTAATAGCACGGGAGGGGGGATAAAAAAAATCAATTAATTGTGCAGCTCTGATTTGTCGAACTATCTAAAAATAGATTCATCAGATCCTCTCACTTTTGAAGGCATGATCGAGCAGGTCTTATCGGTTAAAACACCGCTGCTTTATCTCAGCAGGTCCGGCGAGAATGTGAAATGGTGAAATAAGAAAAGCACCTGAGATGACAGCTGGCAGGAATAAAGAGTCCAGAAGCCGCTGGAACGCAGCTTCACGAACATTTACGGCAGGGATCGCTGTACTTTTCCTTGTCAGAAAATGTGTTTGTTAGACAACAAACTTACTTAGTTGGGTTTATGTGGGGGAAAACATGATCGATTTGTCTTTAAACGAAGCCTTTCTGGCAGAAAGCCCCGAAGGAAAACGTGTTTTTTGGATTCTTCGTGGAGGCTTAGTCATCCTTTGTTGTTCTCGTGGGTCGCAAACATCCTCTCCCACTCCCACGGATCAGTGTCCGTGTATCCGCTCCTCAGGGGCAGCTTACACCTTCAAACCCTTCACCCACAAATGTAAAACAAAACGTTTTCTCACCTTGTGAAACGTCAGCTGGCGGGTCCTCCCTGTGTTTACTTCGCGTTTAGTCGCGACTTCTTCTTCCTCCTCCTCTTCCTCTTCTTCTTCTTCTTCCCGCGGCGTTATGTTGTAGTAATCGCAGCATTACCGCCACACTGTGGATGCGCGTCACGGAGCGCAGCGCCGCTTTGCTGCCGCCAGCAGGACGGGAGTGGAACGACAGGTACGAGGAGCCGGCGGGACAGCTGTTGAGCTGTCACCTGTCTCTGTGCCACTTGTTGGGCAGAGTCGGCCTATCACCGCCCGCAGGCGGATGTATAAATAGTTTAAAACTGCTCCACCGAAATCTCCGCGGTTCACTGCCTGACACATCCACAGGGATCCAGCACTGAAGTCACTCTGGTAAGCCTTTAAAATTGGTTATGTGTTAGTTTGAACCACTAAATGTATGTAGAAACTGTGTGTGGACATTTTAAGGTCCATTTACAAGGATTACAGGGTATCAAATAATATCTACAGCACTAGTCAATCATTCAAGTATCCAAATGTCTATCTATTGAAGTGATACTCTGGGACTCTAGGGAAGTTATGTGAGGCTCACACCTACAGTTATGAAAGACGAGGCTTTCAATAAACTGTATGTGAAATATTAAGTGCATACTTTGTATACCTCTTTGTACTTAACTTTATTTAAAGTTAAAACACTTCCCTGGTACTATACTTCTCTTGCAATGTAAAATTGGACGTCCCGTGTATCTTCTTTTTCCACTTGCACTGCAAATCCAATAACTCATAAATATATTCTTAAAGGAATAGACACCCGGGGGCAATAAGGGTGGGCTGCAGCTGCATGAGCAAATGTGGCTCAGAAGCAGTTGTGATGTGAATTCCAACCAACTTTGGAGGGAAGAAATTTAATAGGCTACAATACAAGTCCCGTGTGTCAGTCATTTCCCTGCAGAAATATTAGGAAGTTAAAGTAGTTTCATCAGTCATTCTACATTCCTTGTTTGTAATATCAGCGCAGAGAGAGAGAGAGAGAGAGAGAGAGAGAGGGAGAGAGCGGGGGAGGGAGAGAGACAGAGAGACAGAGGGACACAGAGAGAAGCGTACAGTCTCCATTCTCACTCAATTAGAAAACTCCAAGCAGGCTGTTGGTGTTTTGGGGGTTATACCAATGGATACTGTTACAGCAGCATCGGCTGCATTATGCTCCCCTTTCATTAGTCAATATATGGAAACCTTACGACAGAAGGAGGTAAGACGCCGCATTGCTTTTGTGTTTAGTATACAAAATTAGTGGGCTTTCCACAGGCTTGGCTGGCTCATGTTTCCCCTCATTGTTATGAGATTAATGGGGTTTTGGTCTAAATTAAATTAAATGAAATGTTTTATCCTTAATCTCCTAAATAACTGAGAAAAATGTGAGAGTAGGAGAAAAAAAACCCTCTTCTGAGAGGTCATCTGTGGTGCAGTCGCTTGATTAATAATGCAGCTGTGGATAGCTCGCTGTCTTTATCACACAGTAACTATGCAGCTGAATCTGTTTCCCAGCTAATCTGCTAAAGCCAACGTATTTCAGGGCTGCATGCACAAACTGGCATTTGTCTTTTAGGCCACAAATCAACTAAACCAATAGATTATTGCTGGGAAATGACCAAGTACCATCTGGGAAGCCACTGAACTTTGAGGCATTGGCCTGAGAGATGTGAGAGTCAAGAAGTGGACGGCAGAGCAGTGCAAAGGTTGTTCTCCTTTGAGGAGAATAATGAGCACTAAAGGAAGGACGAGGCCGAGAAGGGTGATTCGATCATGCATGAGTTCCCTAATGACTATTGAGATGTTGGTGCTTGTGATGAACTGCTTGAGAGAGTTGCACAGGCCTGTCATGTTTTTCCTTGAGTCCGCCCAGCTGGCCTTGGAATACTATACATTACCAGCTGGGAACGACCGCCACACTGTCTAAAATCTTACAAAGGAGCTTAAACTCATGTTGACGTAGAGTGAAAAAGAAAGTTGTGTGCAGATTTATTTAGTCTTAGATTAAAAAAAAAAGCGAGAGGGCAGCTGTCAGTTGGGGCCAAACTTGACAGGATGCCGATTAAAAATGTTATTTTTTAAAATTGGGCGTTTAGCTTAAGCTGCTCTCCTCTCTATCTCTGTCTCAGGTCTACAGTGATCATGGCGGACATTAAGAGAATGACAATCACTCCGGACTGCATCTACTCCACCGTCAACAGGTTTGTATGAGAATAGGTCTCATCAGTGAACATTGTCCCCGTGGGAGATCGGCGTTTTCTGCACAAAGTCCCCTCGTGAGGAAAAAGTAAAGCTAGTTCAAGTTGCCTTTTATTCATTACATCCATTAAGGAATGTCAGAAAAGGTCTTTCCCATTTCCTCTTGTTTATTTATTAAAACGTAACAGTTTGATGAAATGGGCCCCGGTCCAAGTATGTGTTTATTTAGCGAGGCTGATGAGAAGAAGATGCTCGGTCATAGCCTTGTCCTCGGGCATGCACTCTCACAGGCAGAATTTTCCCACTGTCGCCAGAAAAAGACAAAGCGTCCTCCAACTGGCGGTCTCGGTGACTGTATGCGAAGTCTGAGAAACTCTGACAGCAGTCAAGAACATAGGCCTTTATTAGCAGATGATTACATATCTTTAAAAAAAAGTCTTAACCCTAACCCCAATATGCTCAGATAATTATCCACTGCAGTGCATCACAGCATTGACGGCTAATTTCCAACGCCCCTCCCTTCAAGGATCTTAAAAATAACACATATAAAGACGGCTTCACGGATGACAAAGTTGACCTTACAGGAAAAGCTGTAGGTTGGTAGGAGCTGTATGGTGATACTCGTTATTATGAATAGATTTAACAGAGAGCCAATAATAATAAGCCAATAATGACTAACTGTGTTAGTTCGTGTGATTTTGATTCATGCTAATGTATCTTTTTTTTGTTGTTTATTTAGGGTAAATAAGTGTTTTGCTCGGCAGAGAAGTGATTTACCTATCATCTCTTTGGAGGAAAACAAGAACGTCGAGAAAAGAAGAGAGCGCTCACCCAAAATCCCCTTCACCCAATTAGAGAACCTGTGCAACCAGTGGGGAGAATCCTCCATGATGGCTCACAGGAGGCCGAGCTTTGACCCTCACAGCACTGAAAACACCCTCCTGGTGAGCAACAAGCTGCCCAAATCCAATGGAGGCAACATCAAGGATAAGATCTCTCTGTGGGAGGGGAAGGAACCCACACACTCACCCATTACCTCAGGTTCTTTGGGCCAGTGTGCCAGCATAAAAAAGACAGAATCCATCACAAAAAACAGCAAAACCTGCGATGAACCGAGTGCAGAGAGTTGCCGGAGAGTAGCTCATACGGAAAAGGGAAACCCCGGTAAAGAGAACCTGGGTAATCTTGGGGATTCAAGACCCTGTTCACCCGTCGATACTGGGAAACAGCAAAGAGGGACGCTCAAGAGTAGCAAGCCCAGTGAAAATCACAATGGGGAGGAGGGTGATGTTGTTGTGCACAAAGAAAGGCAAGATCGCGAGAAAGAGAACGGAGGAAAGCTCGTTGGTTCAAGGCCTTGTTCGCCTCCGGCAGCGGCACAGCAGCCAGTGGGGACGTTGTGGAAAAGCAAAGAAAGGAGAACGGCAGAACAAACCAGCAAGGAGAAGAGATCCGTGTTCACCCTTTTCAAAAACCTGGAGGCCATGGGGGAGAACCACGGGAAAACCCCTCCTGAGCTCGGAAACTACTTCAGTCCACCGAGCAAGGACAAACAGGCGAGTCAGACGGGTGCAGCGAGGGGGAAGCAGCAGCAGGAGAATGTGTACACAGAGCCAGGGGCGCCCCCCATCAACCCAGTGCCCAAACCCCGACGTACTTCGAGCATCCAGCCACCGCCGGCATCGGGAAGAGTCAGAGGAAGGGGAGAGAGCAGAGGAACCTGCCCCCTCTGCCCTCCATCTCCACGAAGACTTCCTCTAAACCTCCATCCGGCGTCTACGGGAACCCCAGGGGAGAGAGGGTCAGGGACAGCAGGTACACAGGAACAGAAATGGAATTTGAGGGTCATATACTAGCCAGAGCCGATATTAACTGAAGGGATAAATAAAAACTTTGTCAACATATCTTCATCTCTCATTTGCACTTTTGTGCTCTCTGTGGCAGGGAATCCTTTGAGTTCGAAGAGCTCACAGGGTCAACTAGCCCGCTCCCCTCTCGCTCCCTGTACCAGGAACATCACTATGAAGACATCCCAGGTCAGCCAAAGACATTTGACTTTCCCGCCAAGAGTTTGACGAGGAGAGTAGCTTTGCATGAAGACATGAAACAGGCAGCTGTGCTTTGGTTTCTTTGTTTTGCTGGGCGCAGTGCTTCCCTGGAGAGTTCCTGGGTGTCAGAGCCAGATGTTTAGACGTGCTAAGCTAAGCTGTCTCTAAACTGTCTCTCGAGCTAAATTCTCCAACTATGCAATATTTAAGCCATTATTCAGACTGTAAAACAGGGGCTATGTCTTGTGAATATGTCCCAGGCATCTTCTAGAAACCCTTGGTTGGTTTTTCATGTTTTTCCATTATGAACATTCTGCAGAAAATGGTATAAAATGACATAGATATTGGATGTCTCCTCAGGCTGCTTCTGTCTGAAATATCAGAACAATCATTTCGTATGAACCTTGAGAAAGGCCTTTAAACACGTTTTTGGTTTCCCTCCAGACTTGTCCAAAGAGAACCCATATGAGGACATAGAGTTGGAGAGTCAATGCTCCCAGCAGTCCTTGCCCTCCTCTCCCGGCGCCGACACCACCAAGGTTCCTGCAATACAAGCCAAGCACAATACTTTGCAGTGTCTTCGACGCTTCTTTTCCAAATGACCAATAAACTGCATTTCTTTCTGCCTGTAGAGCCTGAGGCCCGGCTTCTTCAGGCAGAATTCAGGCAGAAGCTTCAAGCTGCTGGACCTGCGGAGGACAAACCAGTCTCCTCACAGCACCAGCAGCGGGGGCGTTTCATCTCCACCCCAGCTCAGCCCTCCGTCCACTCCCACTCTGCCTGAACACGCTTCCTTGAGGCACGGAGATCCTTACAGCCGCACCTGCCGCAGGATACCAACGGTGTGTGATCGAGAGCTTTTTATCCGGGTTCCCTGGACTAGAGTAGACTTTTTCTTCTGCAGCTCTAATCCTTGCCTGATTATTTGTAGAGATTCGTCTTTGATCTGAATCGGGTGGCTAGCAGGTCCCATTTTATTATGATTATTGTTCTCATCATTGTTGAAGATGTACTGAAGCTGTTAATCACAGTGATCCAGAGCTTTTTTCCCAACAGGTTGTACTGAGAATCAACAGCATCTTCGAGGCTCGGATCGGGAAGAAACGTCTCCGTAGGATCTATCATTATGCCGAGACAAGCTCAGGGAGAGGTAGCGATGCTGAAATTAAACTCTTTCTAAGGCCTTTAATGTAAACGTGGAGTCTTAAGAGGGATGATTTGTGTTCACAGTTACGGATGAGAACAGTGACTCTGAGAGTGAAGTTGAAGAAAGAGCAAAAGGTAGTTTACGCAGATCATTTCTTTCTTCCCCGAACCATTTAACCTCTTAGTTCATGCATCTCACCTTCTTCTTCTTCTTCCTCCAGCTCATCGTCAGCGTCTCGCGTCGGTCAAGTCCATACTGAGCCAACCTAACCAGGCCCACTACAACGGAACCAACACCAGAAACAGCTCCCTGGAGCTGGAGCTGCACCAGCGTCGGCTCTTTGAGTATTTCCTAGTCGTGTCACTGCAGAAGTCCAAGGCTGGCGCGCACTATTTGCCGGAGGTCACGCAGCAGTTTCCCCCGAAGGTCAGAATGTTTACTCGCTATATTGTTTTTTCCAGGGGGCAAACCACAGATTTTACTAAGTAACTCATTGTGTAATCAGCATGACTTGTATTGTGGACAAAAAAATGCATTGATGCATTGGTTTGGACAATTGTTCAAACATCTTTTACTTGGCAGTGTGATCCAAATAGACTTTTGTGACCTACTGCCTCAAAATACAAATGTCATTTAGAATACGTCAAAATACGCTAACTGATCTAAATTCAACCAGACAATGTTCTTTAAATACAAAAAAACTGAAAGGAGGTTTTTTTTCCACAAGCAGATGCTTTTAATCTTCCCTCATTGAAAAATGTAAACTCGGATCTATTGATAATAACATGCAAGCTTTTTTGCCGTTGATGATGGACAAATATGCTCGGAGTAATTATGGAAATGAAGGTAAAGAAAATGCACAAATGCAGCAAAAACAAACGCACACCTTTTGTTCCGTTACAGCTGGAGAGGAGCTTCAAGTTCATGAGAGAGACGGAGGATCAGCTGAGGATCATTCCTCAGTTCTGTTTCCCCGATGCAAAAGACTGGAAGCCGGAGGAGAACTACCCAAGGTGGGAGTGTGAACGTTGCCACAATAATGCTGTTTATGAAAATCCATCAGCAGTTAAATATTGTAGCACTTTTACTGTGTATTATGTTATTACATGGCTGCCGGACTGGACTGGAGTCCACTTTGTCATGTTTCTCAAATAAATAAAAACAAAAAAAAGCTAATGACATGTTTATGTGTGTCTGTTGTGGGTCACCCCTCGTAGTGAGATGTTCTCCTTTGTTTTGACTGGAGAAGATGGCAGCAGGAGGTTCGGATACTGCCGGCGATTGCTGGTAAATAGAAACAAATTGAATAAATATCTGCGCCGCTACTGAACAGGAAGTGGCTAAATACCACAATGACGGCTGAGTAAATAACCATGCCAAAATAGTCAGTGTGGCTGTGGGAAAATAGTCCATCTGGGATTCCAGGAGGAAGTGTGTGAGTGTGCATGTGTGTGCGATTGCGTACGTTTTTGTCTGTTTATTTTTACAGTATGTGTGTGTTTCAGTGATGTTCATACCATAGTAAAGTAAGTACGTTGACATTTTAAAAACTTTTATGTGGCCTCCGTCATGTTAAAGAATGGAAGGAAAAAAACGATTTAGTGAAGATTACATTATCTTTTGGATTTCAGCAACATTTTTAGTTGTTAATCCTCTTGAAAAACAACAACTATTATACGGCCTCCCTCTCATTTCAGCCCAGCGGGAAAGGAAAACGTCTACCAGAAGTCTACTGTATCGTCAGTCACCTGGGCTGTTTCAACCTGTTCTCCAAGGTAAACCCCCCCCCCCACTGGTTCCCTATCATAATATTGTTGACATATAGAAACAAAATGTGTTTGCGTGCACATGCGTTATAGGTGCTGGACGAGGTGGAGAGGCGGAGGGCTTTGTCTCCGGCCCTCGTGCAGCCTTTCATGAGAGCCATCATGGAGGCTCAGTTTCCAGCTCCGGGCAGAACCATCACCATCAAAACGTTCCTCCCTGGCTCAGGCACGGAGGTGACTGACACTGAAACATTGAAAAGAAGCCTGTTAAAATGTTTCTGGAAAACGATAGGCAGGATTTCAAGTTTGCCTACCCTCATCCCCTTTCTCTCGGGGAAAAATCTGTCCTGTTCTAACAATAACAGTACAAAAACACGTTTCACTTGATGGTAAAGTGTGTCTTTAAATGGTGTGACTTTGCTGTATTGTATTTATCCGCGTTATTCCTAGGTGATGGAGCTCTGTCGGCCCTCTGACTCACGCCTGGAGCACGTGGATTTTGAGTGTCTGTTCTCCTGTCTGAGTCTGCGCCTGCTCCTCCGGGTGTTGGGGTCGCTGCTGCTGGAGCGGAGGGTCATCTTCACCGCTGACAAGCTCAGGTTGGTCCCTCCGCTGGAGCTGTTGAGCCCATGTTACTGCTCTTATAATGTCAGGCGGCGCTGAACATCCGTTGTGTAATTATGGAGTTGCTAAATGTTAGATTTCATTGTGAAGTGAGGAGAAACATGGGTGGGCCGGACCCTCATTCTAGAGTTTTTAAGGCAGCCCCAGCTTTATTCAGGGCACATGCCAGAGAGATATTTTGAGGGTCAGTCTGTTGAGTTGTTCTTGTGCTGGGGCCAGATTGTTTGTCCTGCAGGCCAAAGCCAGTGGGAGTCACAGAGAGAGAGAGAGAGAGAGAGCGGTCACAGTTAAGGAATGTGAAGTTGAGTGACGTAAATGAAAAGATGTATGCAACTTTGCTTCCTTCTTTGGGAAATCACCTCAGGGAATATTAACAGGGATCCCGACTGTATCTTAAACCAGATCCCTCTTGCGTGATGACAATGAGCATTAGTTACTTGATGTATAATATCCTAACCCTTGAGTATGTCCTCGCAGTACTCTCTCCCAGTGCTGCCACGCTGTTGTGGCGCTGCTCTACCCCTTCGTGTGGCAGCACACCTACATCCCCGTGCTGCCCTCGGCCATGCTCGACATTGTCTGCACTCCCACGCCGTTCCTCGTTGGCCTGCTGTCCAGCTCCCTGCCGCAGCTCACTGAGCTTCCCCTGGAGGAGGTGAGAGAGGCTTTCTCTTTCTTAACCCGAGTCACGCAGAGAAACGGGTGTTTCACGTCAATACGTTAACGCAGCAACGGTAATAAGGGATTTCTGTGCACAGGTTCTGGTCGTGGATCTTGGGAACAGTCGATTTCTCAGACAAGTAGGTCACGCGTTGCATCGTATATATATATATATATATCAGTATGCTTCGCATGGTCATGGATGTAGAGCAAATTATTTGATGTTTAACACTCGCAAATTTTCGTTTAGTTGGATGATGAGGACTCCATCCTGCCCTCCAAGCTCCAATCCGCCCTGGAGACGGTTCTGGAGAGGAGGAGAGAGCTGGCTTACGAGAGAGGGGGAGACACACCCGGTGGTGAGACACGACGAGGACTGAAACCAGGAACTTGCCACGAGAGCAATTCAATTCAGCGAGCGAGCCGGCGTTACACTGTTTATCTTCTTCTCCTCAGATCCGGGCCACCTAAGCACCGTTGTGTCCGAGGCCTTTGTGCGTTTCTTCGTGGAGCTGGTAGGCCACTATCCACTCTTCATCACAGGGGAACGGGAAGACGGCTACTCGTCCTCTTCCTCCTCCCCAGTCTCCTGCTCCTTCCTGCGCGAGGGTTTTCGTAAAGCAATCCTGTCGAAGACCGTGCGCCGCTTCCTGGAGGTCTTCATGGAGACCCAGATGTTCGGCTGGTTCATCCAGGAGAGAGAGCTTCACCGGCAGGCGCTGAGAGGTAACACGCGGCGGCGAAAACATCAGGGCCCGCCGGCTGAGAGCTGATCCAGTCATTCACGAGTCTTTCTCTGTCATCAGGACTGTTTGAGGTGAGGGTTCAGGAATACTTGGACTCCATCCACGAGAATGAACACCGGAGGGTTAACCGGTTTCTCAAAGGCTTGGGTGAGTTGGTTTCTGAGCTGTCATAGTGAAACAAACTGTCGAAAGCATCTGCTGTAGGCTCAGTCTCACCCTCAAATTGCTCTCTGTTTTTTTTTCCTTTGCTCTAGGAAACAAAATGAAATTTCTTTCCAAGAAATAATGCCATTGTGAAACACACACACACACACACACACACACACACACACACACACACACCGAGACACACACTAAAAAGAAGAAGCACCGAAACAAGGAAAGATTTCCCGGACTGCAGAAATCAAACGAAAGAAATGATAATTTGCTCATTCACGCCTCTCCTCTTGGTGAAGATCCTGCTGTATTTAACATAAATAAAGACAGAGTAAGAAGAGAAAGTATAGTCGTCAGTCAAGCTTTAACTGTGACTTCATCTGAAAGGTCACACCACGGTACTCTATAAGTCCACAAGGGGGCAGTAGTTTATTTCCTGTGGTTCGATGATGTTGCCGCTTTCAGCGACTGACCAGAACAGTCACTGAAAGGTCTTTAATGCTTTTAAAAAAAAAAAATCAAAACAGTGACAACATTGGAAGTAAATTAATAAATAGTTTGTTGTTTTGAACTGTGAAGCAGTAAAGTACCGTCTTAACGTTGTCATCCCCCATTGAAACAAATGTAATCATACATAGAGTTTTAATGTCTTTATTGTAAAGTGTGTAAATCTATTTCCCCACCTCTCCTCCAGTTTGTGGATTGTAAATGGTCAGATTAATTGATGATATGACCATAATGTCACTAATGACTGTGCACAACATATTTATTTTTACACACTGGAAAATTCTGAGCTCAAAATAAAAGACAAGGAAATAGTGTTGACTCAGTATTAGCGTGCTGGTTTTACGCAGTGAATCTCCACACCGCACATTCACTACAAAGGGCCTCGCTTCATAATAGGGGGCAGCTTTACTATTTCAGTCTGAGTCATGGAAACAAAGCGATCTTTAGCCCACAAAGAGGAAAGTACTTTGTCAGCATGAAAACACAACACAGGTGCAGAGCAGTGCATATAGCACATTTTCTGAGGGCCAGTGGGCTCAGTTTGTGACTGCCGAGCGAGGCCGAGGGGCCCCGACGCATCGCACTGCAGCCAAACCTGTCACCTTGCTAGTGGCAAGTTCACACACCTGCCGACACAGATGTTGATGCATATACACAGATGCACAGCGAGTACAAAACATGTCAAAAAAATACACGCTTATAATTGTACATGCGATGATGACCACCCACAGGCCCTTCTGCAATCTGAAACACTGTGGAGCATCAGAGCAAAGTCTGCATTATCTCAAGTACAGTAGTGAAGACAAACAGCACTACAGGTATGAGGAACGAGATGTGGTCAAACTGTCCCTCAATGAAATGTGAAGAAACTGTTTTAAACAAAAGAGTAATGACTAAATGCAATAAGAAGCGTTATCGGTTATTAATAACAAGCAAAAGTAACAGTTGAATAATTTAAATAGTTAGTTATTTGGATAACGGTTAATAGATTTCATGCTCAGCGTGAAATCAATTCAAATGACCACAACACAACATGCTGAGCTCATCTCTCAGGGCCGATGGGGCACATCAGACAAAGAAAGTTGGGGAACCACTGTCCTGAAACACAAACCGTCAGCGAGTAACAAATGTGAGAGCCGTACCGCAGCTTCCTATCGGGCTCCCAAGGTGGGAGCGCTGCGGTGTGGTGGGACAGGAGGCGTCTCGGGAAGATGGATGGATGTGTTGAGCGAAGAGCACCGACGGCTGCCAGAACGTTTGCTCTCGCACTCAGGCTGAGTGTTGGTGTGCAGATGCGTGAACGGCAAACCCGAATTGTCACACACCGTTTCCTGCTAAAAACTCGGCCACGGCTCAAGACAACCGGCTCGTTAGTGCGGAGGTAATTATGGTTTTCATTCATTCTAGCCAGCAGGGGTTGACCTCCAAAGCCTTACATCCTGCACTAGTGTTTTTTTCAAAGCAAACCTCCCTGAGGAATATCTTTCACCACTGAAAATGTCATTTGTTTCAGTCAGTGAGAGAGAGCCCCCTTCACTAACCCTTAGAAACAACAATAGCTTGTTGAAACTCTAATCTTTCCTGCAAAGTGCCTTTCATAGGACCTTATTACCTGAATGGAATCCACTTTAAAAGCCGCTGAACAGTGATACCACGCTGGTACCTGCAAGAGAAAACCTGCAGTGGGACTCAGCTCTGCAACGTGCAAATGCAATAATGCCTATTAATCTCAGCAGAAATAAAATCATACAAACATCACGACCCATTAAAACCAACAAACAGTTCAATTATACAGTCTCTCTGGAGATTTATTAACCTCATTTCACGGTTGGAAGACTTAGGCGTTTAGAAACTCTCTGGGGATTGGCTCTGCTAATTACGTCATTTATATTGTAATTTATGGAGGCAGGGAGGTGCTGCAACTAAGTAGGACTTGCCATCAATCAAAATAAAAAGTTTCTTTCATACCTTCTCTCCCACAAACCTCCATCAGAAAGGCTATTTTGGCAGGTTGACTTTGTTAAAAAGCTTTGGGTCGGGGCGATAACTTCCAGGGCGGAATATTAAAGCATTCATTAATCATGCTTATGAGCCTGGGGTATTTTTGCCTCTACAACACAAATATGGTACTAACAGGTTCCCATAGAATACATTTGGAATCTTTAGGGTCATTGATATTCTTCTTTACACACCATGTCACATTGGTTTAATTTGCTTTACACAACCTGCATTCCAAAAAAAGGGTGGGAATGACATAAAGACAAATAAGCCAGAAAGTCTGGAAACAGAAAAATTATTTAAAAAAGAGTAGGAGTTTGATGTATTACAAAAACACTTGGCACAGGCTGAGATGAATGCCCAGTTCACACACAGACATGTGCACGGAAAAGGTTCCCAAACATGCACCCGCCCGCTTTTTTTTTTGGAGTTGCAGGTGCCGTGTCCGGCTGCAGGCCTGTCATGCATGCCATCAGCCTGAATCATTTCCCCCGCTCAGAGGAGGAGCCATCAAAGCATATGGAGGACAAACAGCAATGCGAGAAGAGGTAGGAAGGGAGGACTAGGAGAGGAAAGGAGAGTAGGCTGCAGCAAAAAAAAAAAATAGTTAGTTATGCTGGATTTCCATTTTCCATTTTTCCATTTCTGATAGGCCACGTTACAGCAAAGCCTTTTAAACTTTGGGTGCAGACCAGAAGCTGGAGGAAGTGGGAAGGAAAAGAAGGAGGGAGGGAAACGGGCAGAATAGCGTGTGTGGGGCAAAGTCATTGTGGGTTGTGTGAGATTTTTTCTCGCGGCGGCTGTTTCTCGCTCTTTAAAGAAAAACTACAAGCTAGAGAGGCTCAGAAGAAAATGGTTTGAAGAGAGAAAGAGAGAGAGAGAGAGAGAGAGAGTGGAGAGATTGGGTGGTGGGGGGGGGCACTCGGGCCACACACATAGATTTCCAGGCCGGCGGGTGTGTCAGTCAGGCCTGCGGTCTGCTGTATGTTCAAGTTTATCCACACCACTATTACATCACCATTAGCCATGGTATCTGATGACACCAGCTAATGTCCTCCTCCCTGGCTTTGTCTCTCATTCTTGCTCATTCAGCTCAAAAATACCTTTTAAAAAGGGTCATAACCCCAATTCCTTTACGTTTTCTTATCTCAACCTCAGATCATCTGACGTCGTCTGCCTTGAGCACGGAGAGGAGCCTGTCTGGAGCCTGAGGGGGTGGACACACACACACACACACACACACACACACACACACACACACACACACACACACACACACACACACACACACACACACATAGACCAGTTGCATGGGATTCTTTGTTTGAGTAGTTGGGTGGTCTGGTCTGGTCTGGTCGAAAAGTGTCTGAAGACTCATCTCTCTTCATGTGGTTTGTGTGTGTGGACATGAGTAACTTTCTGTGTGCCCAAGAGCTTCAGAATGGTGCACAATGGCCGTGGGGGAGTGATTCAAATGTTTTTCACAAGAATTCAAACTGAACATTCGTGGCTCTAAAAAGTGGTCACATCGTAAAACAAGACAGAGGTTGGATCCCAAATCACACCCGAGTAACTATGTAGTGCACTCATTATATGCTGTGGGTGCGAAATGTATGCACCCTAATATTAAAAATACTGTAGTCCAGGTGAGCATGCCCATAATGGAAATGTCAGCATGCAGCATGTATACTGTTTACCATGTGCACCAGAATTCAAATTGGCCCTAGTGTATTAAAGACTGATAAAAGTGTCATTAGTGCTGCAGGTATTTGATTGGTACATTGTCAATTCCCTCCTTAGAGCAATGCCGCTCACATGGCTGAAATGTCTGTTTGCGAGTGCATGAACTGTTGTGTGTCTTAAATAATGCGTGTGCAGACTGGTTGGTCCACAAACCCGTGTGCACAAACGCACGCAGGCTTCTTTTTGTGCCCTCTCCTTCACCTTTCACCTTCCCTCCGAGCGTCCAACTAGCTTTCCAACATCAACAATGTGCCTGCCAATCAGAGTCCACGATGATCATTATAACTTTTCCTGTAAAGTACACCATTCATTAAAAAGATATTCTAGGTAAAACGTGGTCCACTCATGCCTGCCATGGCGCTCGCTCGGCACACTTGTAGTTTTACAGTGGCCAGCATGACATAAAACAGCTTGACAGCTTGATAATTACTGCTCGCTATAAATGGGGAGACTACGCAGTAAAGTGTGATTTTCACATTGAGATCAGGCGTTGGAGTGTGTGTGGGTTTTATGGGCATTTTCTGTGTATGCAAAATAAATCAGGTATTATTTTGCAACTTGAGTTAACAGGTTGACTACAATTTCATCGATTGGGCCGATGTGCAGGCCTGCAGAGCATGCTGGGCGAGTTAAGAGAGTGGTGCTGTTTGCAGAAAGAAAGACAATGTGTACGAGCACGGCATGTGAATAATGTTGCCATGAGGAAGTACGCACAGAAAAATGGGCTCTGTCTTTAAGCTGTCACTCAAACAATTATCATTGCTGCGTAATTATTTCTGAGGGTTACAAATGCGTATCTCCTTTTGGCCATGTTTATTTTCCTCTGGAGCTATCTCAGGAGTGCTTTTAGCCGCTGTCATTGTGTGCATCTAGGATGATTTACGCCTCCACTTATTATTTACTCACATTGTTTGTCTGTATGCTGATGATAATGGTTTGGAAACCACGTC